AAAATAATTTTGAAAATAAATTGCATCAGGGAAGTTTCAGTTACCACAAGAGTCTATTAACTCTGACTCAATATTTTTCAAGAAAATAAGGAATAAAATTAAAAACTCACTAAGTACCTGGCAATTTTGGCAATAGTTGCCCATATTAGCTTGATAGTGCTGGATGGGTGCACTACAAAAAGAGCTTTAATGTTCTTGCGGTACCTAAAATGTATCAAAACCAAACAAAAGAATTAATTAACCACTAAACTAAACTCAAATTTAAGTAAGCACTATCCTTTTAAAAATTTGATGAATTCTTCATTTTCAATAAGATGACACAAGATATTCTTGACACAACACAATCTTACCACAATGAAACCGTTTTGTTCACAAAAGAACATGCGTTATTTTGAGCCTGTGCGATTAAGAATGTTTTCTGGCCACCAGATCATAGCTTACAATAGTTTAATGACATATCTTGGGCACCTAATTTTTCTTGACTAAATCCAAAAAATGATGATTCTACATGTTCATGAACCATTACTGAAAAGAAAAATGTAATATATTACAAAAGAAAACTTCAGTGAATGGAGAACTCAAGACTCTCTGCTTTATTGAAGATCATTTTTGTAGGGGGTCAAAATAAAATAGTTTGGTGTCCATATTCTCCATGTGTACTATCTTGTTAAAATTTATTACCACAATATATGTAGTAGGGAATACTGTTGATGACATAACAACAGTGTTACAGGCTGTTTTGGACCAGGTTAATTCCTGGTGTCTTAGTAACAGACTGATTCTACATGAAGGTAAATCCGAGGCAATGGTCTTGAGTACCACCCTCTTCATAGGTCCTTTGAAACAGCTGAAGCGGGGTGCGGACACCATTTGGTATGTGTCCTCCACCAATTGCCTTGGGGTTACAATTGATGATAAACTCTCTTGGTCTCAGCATGTTGCATTGGCTAGATCTGCATTTAATGCCAAAGTCAAAATTTTGAGATGTATAAATTTCCTATCTACATCTATCTTGGAGACTTTTTACTATAGGATAGTTATTCCAAGTGTTCTATATGGAATTGTGATTTGGGGGTCTGGACCCAAGCTTAAAGATCTAGAAATGATTCACATCAGGGCTGCTAGGCTGATTCATAAGTTGCCAAATAGTTTTAAGGATAGTGATGTACTTTCCAAGGTTGGCTGGATGCCTTTAGAGTATTTTTATAAGCTCTGTATCTTAACTATTACATAATAATGCTTATTATAATTTAGGGTTGCGGGAAACTAATTGTTTGGCGACCAGGAACTCTAACAGCTATACCCTAAGGATATCCCTGAATGTTGTACTTAATAGGCCGAAAACTGAACTGGGTCGTAGGTCCTTTGCTCATAGATCTGCAATAGCATGGACTGCACTACCAGATAATCTTAAAGATTCTCCAAATTTATCTATTTTCAAATATAATTTAAAACAATCCAAGCAAACTGTCAAGAATGTTAATTTTGAAAAGGGAGGTACTGTTATACAAAACATGAAACCAAATTTTCACTATTACTAAAATTTTATGGTTTACTTAATTTATTCAACTTATAAATTGTATCATATTTGTATTTTATATAATTATAGACTAATTACTTTAGGCAGGTCCACTTCAGCTGTAAAGTTGCATAAATTTTTAACCTGCCTTATCAAATAAAGTTATGCATGTATGTGCGTATGTATTGCACTACAGCTCAAGTATTCATTTCCTGTTCAGTAAAACCATATCAAAATCTTACTTTCTGTCCAGGTCACGGTAAAGCTGTATCACTTTTGACATTGCTGGCTTATTCTTGCTCGTCAACCCATAGTGGAAGTAGACAATAGTGTAGTCATTCTCCACATACTGATCCAAAGTACCTGACAAGTAACTGGTCAAGAATGGAGGTTGAGTGTTTGAGTTATCAAAGAACTTTCACTATGGCCTACCATTAATTTTTTGAGTAACAATACTCTTTTCATGCTTGATTTACAGTGCCATAGAAAGCAAACAATCGATGATTCCAGCTAACTACCATTTAATTGGGCCACTCAGTTTTGACCACCAAACCAAAAAGGGCCAATTTACCAATTGTTATCGCATGACAGTAGCAATACTCTTTGCCCTAAACATTGACGGTTTCCATTATTAGGATATGTTTGTTTTTACCTGAACATCCTGGTGTGATCAATGGAGGATATTGGTGGCATTCTGCATGCAGAGAAAACAATCACAGGCCTGCCACTTTTATCATCCCCTGAATTAAAAGAAAGGAAATACTTCAATGTTTTAAGGCATATTTTAAAAATGCACATTCCAGTCATGCAATACTGAAAGATTCTCTGAAAATGACCATGGATATTAAAAATCTTTTTTTTTTATTGTACTGCTCTAACCTGGTTGCAATAGAAATTATACATTATGACATAATCATGAGCCAATCCAAACTATTTTTCTTATGAAGGTAAATGCAAGGTGCAGTCTTGAAGTTCACCTAAGATTGCTCAAATATATTAAAGTAAGAAACCTTAGAGGTCACCATGAGCATTTTGTGCAACCCCTTACCCTGAGAGTGATTCAGTGTAAAAGAAAGAATTTCTCACCGGCTACTGATAGTATTTGATGCCGAGCAATATCACTGAAGTTGTCATTCAGTGCACTCAAACCTTGATGAATTGAACCTGTAAGTTTCACTGCTGATGCATTGCTATCTGTTAAACAAGGAAGTTGAGGTAAATAAGGTTGACAAGTCACAAGCCAGCAGACAAATTCTGCTACTTTCCTATATGTGAGTAAAACGTGAGGCAGAGATGTTTTTGAGATGTGAATGGGAGCCAGTAGAAGAATAAAACTAATTCTGTCTTTCTTTGAGGCCATTATATCGACCATAAATACTAAACTGTACTGACCAAAGAGGTGTCGTGAGTTTTAGGAATAAAACATTTTTATCTTCTGGATGCAATCTGAATCTCAAAAACCTTTTTACTAGAGCTACCCGTTTGTCTCCTTACATGCCAAGTGGTGACTGAACATTTTAATCTGGTCACCAGACAGAAAATTTAGCTGCTCAAATGTTTAATGTGCACAGTGTTGCCTCACAAAACAAAACAACAAATTTTTGGTTGTAAAGACCTTTCTTTGCTCAAAACAAATCTCACTGCTAACAGTTACCAATAGAAGGTAAAGAAGCAAAGAAAAGAAAAGGACAAAGCATCAATGTTCATGGTTGTAAGCGTGTAATAAGGATCAACTGACCCTGCAGTAAAACATACATTGCAGTTAAATTACCACTGGAGTTCAAACCGAACTCCAGTTTTCAAAAGAATTTGCTAAGGTTGATTCACAATTTACTTTTTCTCCTAGCCCTTTATTATGATTAATTTGGGTTTAAGAACAAAGGAAATTGAGAGCCAACTGAGCTGGCTTGTATAATAAAGAGAAAAAGGCACAAATAACTCTTAATAAGTCAGTGGTTATCCCTGAATTTTTCTAATATGTCTAAGGTTTCCAAATTTTTCTAAATATCCCCGGAAGTTTCATGACTGTGTACTGACTTTGTTATGGATCATCACATAAATAATTACACCTCCACTAGTACAGATGGTTTCAATTTTACTGATTGCAGAAATGTTGATGTTATTTTTAAAACTACTTTGCAACGTCAGCCTTAAAAGGACTTGCAATCTCAGAGTAATCAATCTCTCATATGCGTTCGAATTCAAATGCTGAGAAGGCGGTCAGGCGGATAATCAAATATCCTTCTTTAGTTAGAAAAAATTAATAACAATAAAAGAATGTGCATTATGTCTATTGAAATAAACTGACAGCTAAAAAAAAATTAACGCTAGTAGGGCTGACGGATCATTATCAATTGTATTTCCTCATGACAGTACACAGAAACCTTACCATTCTTCACTGCAGCATTTTCATAGCGTTTACTAGTGCTGGTACCCTCCAAAGTCGTACTACTTGCATCATGATTGAGCCGTCTTTGAGAGATACCTTCTGAACTATCAACTGTTGAACTTGTCAGTTCTGTTTCATTGAAATGGCCTGAAATTAGTCCAGAACCCCGATCTAATTCCATTTTGTCTCGTGAGTCCAATCTTTCGATGGATTGCTTGGTGTTACTTGACTTCTCTTCGTCCGTCAAACTTGAGCTTACACTTCGAGAAGAGAGAAGTGGATCAAATTGTTCGAGAAAATCAGTCTCCTCTTCAGCTAAATCACCAAAATCTGTCATGCCATACCTCCTGGTTCCACCTGGTGATAAGTTCCCTGACCTCCTGTGAAGAACATTTTCGTCACCTAAGCTGTTCACGTCTGAGAGAAAGTCGTTTCTAGCTTGCGACGATTTAGACAGCGTTGAAATATCCTGTTGTTCTTCGAAATGGCTTCCGAGTACGGGAAACGACTCGTTCATAACTGTCACGATATCTTTATTTCATGAAAGAAAAGATAAATTAAATCTTTCTCATTTCACTAATGTGAATTTGTGCGTTCATTTCAGTCGTGATAACGTCATAGATTGACATTTCCCCCTTCATACAACATTTGAGATTGGGTATACAGCTTTCCGCCGCGCGAAACTATCTCAAGAAAGTGGCCAAGAACGTCAAACAAACGTTTTGTGCAGGGTGGGGGGGGGGAGAGGAGAAATATGCATTTATAACTTTGGATTTAAAAGCTCGTTGGCGTTGGACAGAAGTGAAAAATGTTTGACTTAATTGTGAATAAAATATTTTCATAAATTAGTCTTTAGATTTTTCAAATAGAGAATTGGGGGCATGTTTTATTTTTCTATTTCGTATCTTAGCACATCCCCAGTGGGACCCCGACAGATATTTTCTTACTCTCCCAGTTGACTTCATCTTTTGGGGAACGCCTGGAATATTCTACCTTCGTCGGCCATTTTCATCCGTATTTGCGCGACGGTACGTGTATTCTTGCCAGTTATTTTGCAGCTCCTTCTTTGATTTTTATCGGAACCACACGTCACGAAAGATTTTTAAAAAATGGGTCGCTTACGAAGAAAACGAATGCACAAGAACGACAAACATCTAAAGAAGAAGTATCGAACCAGAAGGCGAACAAAAGACTTAGATCAAATTCACGAGGACATGCAACCAATGAATGCTGCTAAATTAAAATCACAAGAGTGTGACATGGATTTACCAGGTGCTGGACGATATTACTGTATACAATGCACGTAAGTATCTTTATACTGGATGTTGCTAATCATAATCGTAATGTGCCATCATCGACAAAGGGGGACATAGTTTTTTTAGGAGAGGTGGTTTGGGAGAGGGAAGTGTTAAAACAACATCGCTCGCAGCGTCTGTGGGCAAGATGAAGCGAATCCCGTGGCGAGCGGGCAAGATGGGCTGCATCGGGATTGCATCGGGATTGCCTGCATCGTTTCCGCGCATTAACAAAAGTAGAATTAGACTTTCGTTCGTAATTCTTGGACAATTTCGGCGATGGAAACGCAAAAAGTGGCAGAAGATAGTTAAGACAAAGAAAACAGAACGACTCTCGTGAGTTTGTCGTGCTACAAACACAGTTGGCTTTCTTTCTTGCCTTCGTCTCAGTCCATAAAAATGCAATAAAAGAACTCGGCCATTATCCAACCATCTTGACCTCACGATTGGTTAATAACCCATATATATTTATTACATCGCTCACTGTGCCCGTGGGTAGGATGAAGTGAATCCTGTATTGTGAACACAGGCATCCCAAGCTCACGTCTTGAGCAAAAGCGAAGGATTATTTCATGGAAGCATCACGCATTTTGTGACGAGGTGTTAAGTTACATGTGCAACCGTTGAGAATTTGAATGCGTTATAAGGAATGGTATGGAGAACAAAATATGATCCATTTAAAACACTAAGGCCCTCCACAGACTAGGGATTTAGTCGTCGACAACTAAAAGTTATTGACAACTAAAAAACGTAGTCTGTGGCGCAAGTTGTCGACAACTAAACTGCAAATTATTAGTTGTCAACAGCTAAGCAGTTTCCCTTTACGAAAAGGGGAACTGCTTAGTTGTCGACAGCCTCATTTTTTAGCTTTTTTCTAGTGTGTGAAAACTTTTGTTTTAGTTGTCAACTACTTTTAGATCCCCACGCTATTGTGTCCGTGGCCTTCCCAGCCGGCTTAAAACATGTAGGATTGCAGAAAAAAAATACTTGGTAAAGAAAAAATTGTTTTTGATCTTCCTTCTCCACATCCTGTTCTTGGAGGCGGAAACAACACTAATGATGTCATTATTGCAACAGCTTGTGCCCACCAACAAGTTCTGATGCAGGATATTTTATCCAAAACGATTGAACGGTAAATTTGGCGCAAAGTTTGTTTGAGGGAATTTTGGCCAACGTGCCGTAGAAACTGCAATGACCGCGATTTTATCACCAATTTGCGAGTAGACAGGGGTACGTTTCTTTTTATTGTTGAAAGACTGACCCCTTATATTGACCGAGAAATGACAAGAATGAGGCAGTCCATTGATGTGGATGAAAGAGTTGCAATGGGGTTATGGTGATACGGAGCATGCGCAGTAAGCTCCTGGTGCCCAACCTCCCCGTGCATCGGCTGCTAAATCACTATTTGAGCTCCAGAGTGTGGAATCCTTTATCGGACTTATTTAGTTGTCGATAACTTTTAGTGGTCGATCACAAATAGTTGTCGACAACTAAAATCCCTAGTGTGTGGAGGGCCTAAATATTCCAAAATATGAACATTTTACACCTTAAATTAATAAAACTTACTCATTCTTTGTGCACACACACATGCATGCACATACGTACACATGCACACACACAGTTATGTGACACTGACAACGGACTATATTTGAATATTCTGCGGGGTTTGCTGTGAGCACTTGCATTAAGTAAAATGCTATAGATCGCGGTCAATTTTGCTGTATCTCTTAATCTTCGATAGCATTTTACTTAATGTAAGTACTCATGGGAATCCCCACAGAATATTCAAATGTAGTCTGTAGCGTTTACGGCAACCAAAATCTAAATTCTCAAGTTCAAGGGCGTGTTGCTCCAAACCGCAGTTAACGAGGTGTTTGGGACTATTTTACTGATTGAAATGACAAACCAAAGTTGACTGTTTACACAAATCTTTATTCTTCGAAAGCAATCGACCATGAACCACAATCAACGATGAAAATAACGATTATTCTCACAGTCAATCAATCTATCGAATGATCGATCTGGCTGAAACAACAATACAACGAAGTTCTGTCTATCTAATGAAAAGCTGCGGAATACATAATCAAAGAATCACATGTCAAATACTGGGCTTTGACGTCTATAACGAGATTAACTGTACAATACAAGTAAAACAGAACAAAAGTTTCAAAACAAAATAATTAGAAGAATTTTGGTGGCTGATAAACAGCCCATTGTTCTATCTGAATGATGGGCATTCACTGACTCGCAAATTGGCTCGAATTTGGCTTTTAAATCTTAAATCCATAGAGATTATTGCAATATTTGTTTGTATATTGTCACCCAACACTGAAAAGACTGGAAAGGAAAAACAAAGTTACAAAGGTACTCACATAATTATCGGTCCCGCTTGTACCAGAGGTTAAGAAAACGAAAGGGCGAAAGTTTACCAAGACTATTCAAAACTTACGAAGACCTGATTAAAGGGATGCTAAACTTTCCTTTTATATGCGCGTGGTGATGCTGAAAGGTTCGATTACAAAACCAATAGAAATACAGAAAAACAAATAAGCATTGTAACTATGTGGCTATCTAAGATCATTCTGAAATTAGTGAACTAATCAATAATCAATCAAAAAATGAGCCTTCTGGTTAATGTCCTTAACATAGTCCGTTGTCAGTATCACATAACTGTGTGTGTGTGTGTGTGTGTGTGTGACCTCACTGTACAATTTGTAGATCAGGACAATGGATCAAAGCGAGGTGTCACTGTGGGAATGGGGTAAGTATTGTACATAAATTGATTGTACCACCATCAGTAGAGATAAAATTGATGTTAGACCCAAGCTTCTTGCACGGCTGTGTCCACTTTGCATGTCAAGGCACCAGCAGAAAGAAAGAAACTTAGAAATGATGGTAGAAAACGCTCAATTTCAGTGGAATACGTGGAGATTTTTGGAATTGAGACACTTTCCAGGGTGCAATGATCTCGGATCGTAAGCTGTGGATTAAAAAAAATTGCGGAATAGATGGATTTTCTGGGCGCAAACCGCCTCTGCATGGACAACGGTCAAAATCGTAGTGTGCAGCCTTGACTTCGTCTGATAACACGAATAACAGTGATGACAAAGCAAGCCCAAAGTAACGGAAATCGCCAACAAACACAACGGACACACAAGGAATGAGGAAGTTTTATTAATCTAACGTGTAAAATGCTTATATTTTGGAATTTTTAGTGTTTAAAATAGAGCATATTTTGTTCCCCATGCTATTCCTTATAACGCATTCAAATTCTCAACGGTTGCGCGCATAACTTAACACCGCATCACACAGCGTGTGACGCTTTCATGAAATAATCCTTCACTTCTGCTTGAGACGTGAGCTTGGGACACCTGTGTTCTGAATGGCCCTATCTTGCCTGCTCGGGATTGCCCGGATTGATCCCACACAGGAAAAAAATAGAATTGGAACTATGTTCATAATTCTTGGACAATTTCGGCAATGGAAACACAAAAAGTGGCAGAAGATAGTCAAGACAAGGAAAACAGAACTACTCTTGTGAGTTTGTTGTGCTACAAACACAGTTGGCTTTCTTTCTAGGCTCTCAAAGTAAACAAGCCATTTCTAATTCTTATTAAAGCGAAATCTTTTTGCATTGTAATAAATATGGGTTATTGACCAAGCTTGTTTGGTCAAGGTGGCTGGATATTAGCCTCATTCTTTTTTTGCATTTTTATGGACCTTGCCTTCATCTTGGTCCATAAAAATGCAATAAAAGAACTTGGCCATTATCCAGCCATCTTGAACTCAGGATTGGTTAATAACCCATAATTATTTATTACATCGCTCACTGTTGTGCCCATGGGCAAGATGAAGTGAATCCTGTATTCTGAATGGTCTCATCTTGCCCACTAGGGATTGCCTGCATTGATCACACGCAGGAAAAAAATAGAATTAGAACAACATTTGTAATTCTTGGACAATTTTGGTGATGGAAACGTAAAAAGCAGGAGAAAGTTTTCAAAACAAAGAAACAGAAAAGAACTCTCGTGAGTTTGTTGTGCTACAAATGCAGTTGGCTTTCCTTCACAGTGCTCGAAATTAAAAAGTCATTTCTTAATTCTTAAAAAAGCCAAATGTTTTTGTAATGTAATAAATCCTTTATTACCCAAGCTTGTTTGGTCAAGATGGCTGGATATTAGCCTTGTTCTTTTTTTGCATTTTTATGGACCGAGATGAAGTCGAGGTCCATAGAAATGCAAAAAAAAAAGAACATCTTGACCTCACACTTGGTTAATAATGCATATCTTTTACATAGCTGGCAGCTCTCATGGGAAATAGGAAGTGAATCCTGTGTTCTGATTGGCTACCCAAGAAATAGGGGGAAAATTATGAAGGGGTCAGTATCATTGAGCACCTAAGAGTGAAACAAAACCTACATTAAACTAAAAAGGACATTTAAAATCTGCATAGGGTATCCAGTAAACATTGATGCTCTGCAACAGCTCATTTTATCCTTGAAAAACCAAGTTTTGTTTAACCTATTGACGTCCAGTGCGCCCGTATGCGCCCATGGGGACCCACACCCTTTCTGCGCCTTGTGACGTCATCACTTTTAACCCTGGAGCACGAATTTGAGCACTTACTTGAACAGGTTGAAAATATCTTACAAACGATACCAGAATGAGCGCAATTGAGTGAAGGAGATTGGAGAAATAGCCAAAAAACCATGTAACTTTGACCTGAAAATCTGCACGAAAATCTTGTTCCATTACCCACCTACCTTTCTGAGCATGTGGTTTGAAAATAATGAGTAGTTTCCTAAAAAATCTCTACACCAAAATGAAGCCTACTAAATTTCCAGCAAGTGAGGAGAAA